AAAAAAAATAAAAAATAAAAAAAGCTTCAGCTCCTGACTATTTTATATAGCACCAGACCCCTACAGCACCTACAATGGATGGTGGGGCCTTGTCAAAAAGTGGGCCCGGGTGACCCTGTCGTGAGCAGGGTAAGCTGATCCCTTATTCTCGTTTCTGTCTGAATCCCTCTGTTCCCTTACCCAGTGTTCATGATCATCCCTCAGTATTTCATTTTCCCCATAGCAGTGGTCTTTTGCATGTGCATATGATCAAAGCTAGCAATTACATTACCCCCGGTTAGTAGTCTTACTACTCAACAACAAAGGTGTCATACTCCTGCTGCAATATTTTTTATCTTAAGATGGATTTTCCGTTACTGCCTTTTTTGAGCTATTGAGTTTCTCTAATTAAGCCAGACACACCCCATTGGCAAAAAAATAAATAATATTACTATTATTTAAAGAATTAGTTTGTCTGTGTGACTTGAATTTTAACATGCTAACCTAATGAGGCAACAGCAGGCAATGTACTCTTTAGTGTCTCTTTTTTCAGTATTCTATTATAAGCCAAGAAGTGAGATCAACTCCTACTGGATAACTATTTTCTGTGTAGAAAGAGGGGGAAATTCTTGCTGGACAGTAAGGCTCGAAGGTCGTCTTGTTGCTTGGAGGTTCAGAAAAATGCTGACAGATTTTCATACCTCATACTTTACACCTAAAGTTAATATAAGCAACAACAACAAAAAATTTATTTTACAATCCTTAAATGAGTCAATGACTACAAGGGATTTTCATAAAAGTAATAAAAACCATCCTTATATTGTGTTTATAATTACTTTCAAAAGTAAATGTAAAAAGGCGTTGGATTAAGTGTTTAGAAATGACAGCCATTTTTGTAAATAGTCCCTGTGTTTTAAGAGGCTTGAGTAACTGGACAAATTAACATGATATTAATTACAAGGACTTCACTCACTATGTGTTAACAGACCTCTCTGCATTGAATCATATCTGTTATTAATCTCTGTCTCTCTTCCACAGCATGTCTTTTATCCTGTCTTCC